TACATGATAACGTTGGGAGCACAATACAATGCACCTTTTATCCGTTAGCCATTAGTAGATTTTGTTTGAGGCGTTACTTCCTTCACATGTCCATTGTTACCCTTCTTACTTTGCGTTTTGTACCACTGCGCTCATCACACTTGCTTCTGTATGGTGCTTCATCCTCCATACACTTTTATTTTACTGCCTAATGCTACCCCAGGTTCCCGAATCTCTGGTTTTTAGATGATGCTCCGCTGCCGAATGATCATTCCAAGGCAGAGCGCCCAAAGTGCATCTCTACTTACCCACTGTGTGGGCAAGATGCATGTCGAAGTTTGGTTTTAGCGTAACCAAACGCCAGAGTATCCGTCTTCGTTATGCAGTTATCCACCTGTCATCGATCTGAGTGGTCTGTAGACTTCGTACCCAGTAGCTTTTCCTCCAAACTTAAAACCTCTGGAACGCTTCATCAGGTGGATCGCAACAAATAGCTACTTTACAGTCCGCTCACAACCCCACTCTGCTATTTTTGACTCCGCTACGTAAATCCCGAATTTTTTCATCACACATGAGAATAGCACCTCTTCACCCAGATTGCCGTCGTGTCTGACCTACAGAGATCACAGTTGACTGCGCTATCTAAGTACCGAAGCATTGCTCATAAAATACTCGTTGGCAGTAACAGTGGCTTCCAGTTCCCTTCCCTAATTCAACTCATTCAAGTGGTCCCATTCGAACGCGGGTCAAGACATCCGCTTTCTTGTCCATGAGCAGGTCAGTTAATTGGCGTGCTGTGTAAACGACTGCAGCAACAGCAGTAGCAAAAATAAAACTCTAACTAAACACCCAGAGCCAATGCTTATGCGCCTTGTCAATAACAGCTGAGCACAAACAACTGGCTATCTTGTGAGTCCAAAGTTGCAGCGGCGAGACAAACTCCTTCCGACCCTCATCGCACTGCATCCTAATCAAACCATAACCCGCAGAAAAGTGAGCATCAGACCAAAATTAAACGTGCAAAACGACTGGTTGACGATTGCAAGTGCTCCGCTGATGCCGCTCACACAGGCTTACCGACGTGCACAAGCGGTGCAATGCCATTTAATCCGAGCATGCAATTGACAGTTTCGTTTCCATCATCCATCTGTTTAACTACTGGGCCAGTCACAAACTGCTCATAGATAACTTTTCTTTACACAGACCATGTTCGATTTTCTTAATTGATACAATACCCATGAATCACAAGTTGTATCTTCTAAGCACGCCATATGTAATCTTCGTCACCGAATAGTGGTGTTTCTCTGATACATTGGGTTTTACGTTACATGTTCCCAGCTACCACCTCATTCGAAAAGTTCACTGCACAAAGTGAAGAGTGGATATAACGTATGCTGCCACTGAAAATTTTCAGTGGGGTTTCTTGGCAATCTTCCTGAATCCCTATGACTGTCAGTCGCCACAGATTCTTCTACGATACTTTTCGGCTGCATCAACCACACTCAGAAAGCGGCAGACAGTGGTAACGCTGGTGTTTTCTCGCCTGTTGGTTTCGCATCAGTGTTACTGCACAGACGAAGAAAATACCTAGTGAATTCTACTTGCCAAAATCTGCGGATCACCACAGCCAAACTCATACTTAAAGTCTTCAATTGTTCTCCGAGCTGAGGAATTTGATTGCAGACGTTCACCACTAATCGAAGTGGCATCTTCAGTACTAATAGCTAGTAGCTTATTTGTAGATACTAACCTCCGAGCAAATCTAGAGACTGATACAGTCAGCTACGGGGATGTTTTCCATATACATTTCGAGCATTAGTACTTACGCTTCCTTCAGATTGGTGGCATCTCTGGGATACACAATGACCTCTATGTGCCGATTGGAAGGCTGCTGCGACCTAGGATGGCTTATTACAACTTTATTGGTGTAATGACCATGTCGCTTACGGATCATGGTTACAACGGCAGTTCTGCTAGTTGTTCAGTCGCTACTCTGCGTCCTTTCAAGCCACGGTTTGCAACCCGTCTTATTTCTTTCTGAACTGTTGCTATACAGGGTCAAGTTCGATGCGCGGGTTTAATGAATTCAATGTTGAAAAGCAACCTTCCAGAATTTCTGTTCCTTTACTTGCGTCACCGCGTATCGGAATTGCCGCTCTAGTCCAATCAAAACTGTGTCCTTTTTCATCGGCATGCATCGAAATCAAAGCTGACGCATAATGACTTCTGCAAGTAACTTTGTGCTCTTGTATTCTCGTGGTCAATTTCCATCCTCTTCGGCATACATAGGTTTTCTTACAGTTTTGCCACGGAGTCCTGTATGCAACATTGCATTACTCATGTGCTTCTTATTTTCCTTTTGCTTTCGAACGTTCTTTTCAGTGTGGCTTTTGGTTTGTGAGTAACCATTAGGTAGTATGGCTTCAGGAGTCGGGTAGTCACTTCTAAGATGTTCTTCACATACGGCAAAATATTCTGTTTCGGCGTCATACGTATAGTTTTGTCATTGATAGTTCTGGGATTGATGTGCCTTCGGACGAAACTGCCTGGGTACCCGTTGCACCTGAAGGACCCGGTCTGTCTGTTTTGAGGCAAACCGTGACATTCGCTTACAGGTTGCGGAAAATCAAGTGACAAGGAAGCTTTGCTAGGAAGAAAAATCACCGAATACTTCAAGAGCCTAAGATGAATGAGTGGACCATTGCCACTCTTAGTCCAACTACCCATCACAGTGTGCCTGTCTGTCAAGCATGCGTCCTCGGTCCACCTCACAAAGTCACCAAAAGGAGCTGAGTTTCCTAATAAAATGTACTAAAATAAATAAATAAAATAAGCAAATGATCCATTCACACAACGACTGCTACAGAATGACAATCCAATCAGCCATTAACAGTTGTGACGAGCGTTGCCAATCGTGACTTAGTGGCCAAGGGATTTGAGGTTTCCGCTAACATTCTAAAGGCTCCGGATTCAGGTACATGCTCTACTTGGTGAGAGCAAACAACTTCGAACCCAGTCGCAGATTTCAGTGTTTTCGGACAGGCAACACCCAGTTTCCATAGGTTACCTGATTGCGCTTTATTTTCACGAACAACTCCGTCCTATTTTGAAATCTTCTACTTCAGTTCGTGGAGATTTAACCAACGGATCAACTCACTAACATTAGATTCATTACATTCTATAAGGATTCCGATTCAAGTTGAAAACCGATAACCTCTGTGGCCCAGTTTTTTTTTTCGCATAATTCGCGGAATTTGTTAATGACTCTCTCTAGCCCACTCTTCGGTACACTGTATGCGCCTACTCCGTTAGCGTGTTTCACAAAACAGGTCGATGTGCAACCGTTTGTCTTTCCGATCCCACCGTTACACGAAACTCCATACAATTGCACCATCTAAGTTTCTGTAGCGGAAGTCGGTTATTTGGGTCGGCTGCCGGTCCTTGGCCGAAATGATCACAAACCTGCCTTGTAATCCGGAGGTCGCGGGTTCGAGCCTGCGTAGTGCACCGGGCGATCCTCGCAGTATCTTTAGCCCACCCGCAACTGGTGGTGGTTGCAGGCGAGAGAACGAGTTCATGCGGATAAAAGCGAGCCAATATGATCCTCATCAAATTCAGCACATAAGTTATGTGAACTGATGCTTCGCTGCTGTACACCCACCATGATCTACGGAATTAAAAATAATAAGTGGGCGACAAGGAAGGTCTGGCGTACAACCCAATTGCCATAAGCCACTATTCTGGGTCAAGGCGCCTACACCTTTTCAAATACATACCGCCATGCAGTCGCCCATTATGCAAAGATATGCGGCATCATCAAGACGGCTTGTTTGCAGTCTTCACTGACCCGCGTCAGAAAAGAGCACCAAGCACAATTCAAACAGACAGTCTGACTATGGGGCGAGAGCAGACGTACCACTGGTGTCGACTGCGAGTCGTGTCCTGTAAAGTCTCGAGTCAAGCACAAGGCTAGTCCCGCGGACTCCAGCCTAGAAAAGGTAAGGGACCGATGGCACTCAGATTTTAGTCAGTGGCCTCATTTCCAAGTACTAAATTAACTTATGTCCATCTCCCGCCTTGCGCCATCCTGCATTTGGCTGATAAACGAAGGCTCTCCACGGTAACTCTTGATCGGGCATGCGTAGCGTGGGACCAATCCAACACAACTGATCCTTATGTATTGTGCTGAGGAACTACCCTGATTATCACCGTATAGTACTCTCCTGCGCATATCATGGTTGCGGACTCGTTAGCGTCGTCGGATACCATCAGTGGGCAGTGACCATCAATGACTTGAAGGCGACTCAGATCTTCAGATCGGCAAGGATAAGTCCCACACCCATAGATTAGGACTCTCCTCACTTTGGCTTTGCATAGACCGATAGAAGTCCTGTTCTGACGCTACATATGTCACAGGCTCGTTGTTCCAGCTTTTGCAATACGTGAACAGACTTCAGTGCTTATGCGTCTATTGACTCCAGGCAGCGAATCGTACACACGCCATAGGATCGGGGTACTTTGGGTAATCCTAATAGATACAGTGTCGACAAGCAGGAAACTACGCATACACTGGCTGCGCGAGTTGACTACAAATATGCGAGCCAGATGAACAACGCGAACGTGGTTCGATCTGGCAATAACAAAACGCAACGTAGACTCACATAGAGCATGCATTGGTAGAACCGAGCCATTTGATTTGCATTCCTCCACTGCTTACCCTACACTCAACAGATTATTATTTCCGTATTTTAATATGACAAGCCGACCATTATCGATATAGCAGGGCCAATTTACACTTCTTTGTTGGAAGTCCAGAGTATGTGGATATGTAAGCTGTTTTCGACCGTAGTTCATACCATTTGTCATCACGTTGGAGCATCCTATTTGTTTTCCTCTCCTTAACTCCTGCCACTCCATCATGTTATACAATTGGCTCACTTCAACACTTGGTAGTCCCTTTAATTGCATTGTTAACTAGTTCATAGTGAGTGGTATGTGAATCCTAGCGACAAAACTTAAACATGCTTCTCATTTTCATCTATCTTCGTATTCCCTACAGGATATTCCTCTTGAGCAGGTCATACGCTGCACATTGCACAGACACCGAGAGATGGTACAACACCAAGTACTTAAGAGTGGATATTCCGGATTCCAACCTTCAAGTATGCATATTTTGTCTTCAAATGTAATTTTGAAATCAGTTCTTCTCATTTCTCGTTATTGCATCTTTGCAACGCATCCCGATTAAATTCTATCAACGCCAGGTCCCCTAAGCTGTATCAGTAGTTTTTACACTATGCATGGTTGCTAACGCTATTTTCTCTCCGTACCCTTAAAGATTTGTCACCGTAACTGTTGAGTCTACTGCAGTTTCGTCTGGAGAGCGTACTGCACTTGTAAAACCACGCTCTTGTTACCTTAGTTAGAAGCGGGCGATTTAGTCACATGAAGACCGCATTCTTTACCCTATTTGCATCCATGTTTTATGCAGTACTGCGACGAGACTGGACCTCGTCTGGATGCGTTGGGTTGTGAACCCCCCCCCTAAGCTATTTGTTGCCGCGTTCAGAGCCAGGTTCTCGTCAGGCCAAGTAGTAAAATTCTTAAGTCCTTAGAATCATCTTCCATTTCATCGGAGTTTAGAGAGATCGATAACCCTTGTATTTTAACAATCGGCCGTGTGAGAAAACGTTTTTCACGTCATTAGCTTTGTTCAGGGGATGAGTGTCGCGAGATGCCTAAGGTGACACAAAAATACAAGCCTATCAGCACCTGACTAATCAGGTACAGGTTTACAAATACTCGTGTTCGCACATGCACTATGCGATACAGCCCAGTAGCCCATGTACGCCATTTTAAACATCCGGATATGGAATACACTGAACCGCAAACAGATGTCATTCGTTGGCGTGGATTTACTGTCTATTTCTACCTGGTTCCCAGTGTTAGTAGTCTCACCTTGGGTTATATGCCGCTTCCCAAAATGGGCGTCATCCGAACGCAAAACTCCAATACTCGCTTTCCTGTTTCTTCCGTTGATGCTACTCTGCCTAACACACATGTTTTCTAACTTATCTAATGGCGAACCGCTATTGAGTTTATTTCCAACACTGACGGTGTCGTCAAACTGACAGCAAGTGTTCACGCAATGTTTTTATCAGAACTCATCGCCCTCCTTACTATTTTATCATTTGACAGGCCTAATGTCCTCACGGCCACATGCTCCACGATACTCAACGCTAGTGGGTGACTGTCTGTGGTAGGTCTTCGGTCCTCTTCCCTGCCATGCGATTTGCCGTCATAACAATGATAGTGCTGGCCTGTTCAGTAGGTCCCGTGCTGCGATATTGACAAGAGAGAGATCGAAATGGACAGGTTGAGTCAGTTGCAAGGAAGTACTCCTGGTGATGAATACTGAAGGGACTTGGATGCATCAGCTTACCTTAAGGAGCTAAATCCACACTAACCGTCCTGCCATAAGTTAAGTAGAATTAAGAAGGCTCTACAGTGTGACCGGCGCGCTCTGGTTTTTCCGGGTATGCAGAGCTATTCACATTGTCAATTGTTTAGTTCTGAACATGAAGAGATGTGAGTTATTATGTGAAGCACTTGAGCAGATGGAGAATCTTAGTGCTTCGCCATTGGAATCGAAGAAAAGTAGTTCTTTCCCTCTGCAATCCACTCTAAGCCCCATTCCTAGGTAGAAGTATAAAGGCAGTCTTCCTAACCGCCCTAAGGTATCTGCGCCACTTATTCTGGCACAACTTAACTCCTTATTCAGGCAACTCACATGCGAAGTGATGCTATTACCCCAGTCATGGAAGCTATACCTGCTAATTCCGTCATGACACCGACAGCTCACAGCCGGAGTTAATCCGGTACAGCGAAAATATAGGTAACGTACGCATGTCGGTCGTCTCAATAAACATACCTGGAGTGACACAAGTACATCCATCTACTGTACCGAGCACACGCGCAGCGACGCAGTTTGCACCGTCAATTCCAGTGGCGCATCCTAAATAGCCCAAGTCGCTAGGAACGACTCTCAAACCGATATTCGCTAGTCAAAACTACGGTGCGTTAAATCTCGTGTGCCCTAACTTCCCTGAGTTCAAATCTGACACAATAATTGGCAAGTCCGCTAGATGTTCGCAACCAGTGGAATTCCATTTGCGAGGCTATCGGTATTCAGCTTGGGTCCACGGGGCTGAGACGCTTAGCATGTCACCTGACCTTACTGCACTGTGGTGAACCTCGACTTCTCCGAGTACCTCTGAAGTCATCAAATGTGACAGAGGCTCTCCTGCTCTTAGCAGTTGGTCTTCGCATATTACCCAAAGTAAGTAAGTTAGAAGTAAGTAAATCTCCAGCTGTACGCTGTAATTGCGCTTCGCTGCCATGCGATCACCACCAGTCGCGCTTGGGCTGAGTATACCGTGGGGACGCCCGCATCTACGTGGATTCGAACCGGTGACCTTATGGTTGCAAACCAGACGCGCCCAAAGAAGAAGATCACCCTAAGGCGGCCCTCATACTAGCAAGCGCAAGAAAACCATATTTGTTCATGGTTTTCGCGAGTTTCCGGATCCTCATGATCACGAAGCGCAAACACAAGACCGAGAGCAGGGGTGCTACATCTACGAAGCACTCTCACTCTCTCTGTGGACAATGTTGTCGCTAACTTGTTGATAAAATTTCTCTCATCAATGTACTAAAATATCTGCAGTCCAAGATTTATGAGAGTGTTGCTACACTGAGGGAATGCTACAATTCCAGTTGGATAACTGGTTGGAGTATCGACCCAGGTTGCCAGCTGAGGTACGACTGAAGGCAGCACGCGCACGGCCACAAGTGGTCAACAATTCGATGGAATTTGCGCCACCGAAAATATTTTGTCTCCACAGTCCCATCGATATACTGACACGACAGCACCTACCTCACACAACAGGACGGAACGAAGCTTGAGGGAACCTTGCGATGTGGAACACTGTGAGGCCATGAAATGCGACTGAAATTCATGAATCAAACACCTGACAAAAAACTATTAGCGGCCGACCATCTGACAGTCGACTCAAAAGCAAACACGAATTTCACATCCAAAACGCTCTCCTGTTTATACACTCACACCCAAGACCTTAGTCAGTTGGTCGAACTTAGAGAACGCCACACATCACAACCGCGGGACCTCATCATGATTACAATGAACTATTTAAGCCTTGAGATAATTAGTCTGAAAGCAATTTACTTGGTAAGTAGTTGCTTCTGAACGATTGAACTGGAAAGGCTGCTGTCGTAATTCTTTCTTACAATGGGAACCTCAGAAGTGAACTCATGGATTACCCAGAAATTCACGCCCCTGATTCGTTTTACTGTCGGCTATTTTTGTATCCGTGATTTTGTAACCGTGATTTACCGTCCACCAAACTCTACGTCGAAATGGACTAAAACTGAACCGCGTTTTCAGGTTGCTTTTAATAAGTCATACAGCCACATTCTCATCGCGGGAGGCTTTAATGTCCGAGATAGACACGTCAGCAGCCAATGACGTACTGTTGAAAGCCAGTTTGCAAGAGCTAATTTCCAACCACCCTCTGTGCAACCATAGCATCTCTCCTACCAGGTTTTAAACTGCTAACAAGCCGTCGATACTTGATCTTGTGCTCACCAACGAAAAACTCATGGTAGAGGGTATAGTTACAATCACACCATTGGGTCGCATTGACCATGTCACCCTGCTGTTTGACTATTTGGGCTGAAATGGAGGACGATGATATAAAGATTGTCACATACTACAACATGTTATCCACGCTTGTTAATGATGGATCTTAGACCCACATAACTGAATACCCCCAAACGCGGCCTGAGAAACGTTCATAAAGACATTTATCGCACTGGTAGCGCACGTATCGGAACAGCCATCTCTCGATCGTAAAATCCAAAGAGTCATTTCTGAGGATCTCGTACACCGAAATCTGGACCGCATACATGGCACCTCGTAAC